GGGCTGTTGAATGGAATCTTTTGTGGAGTGGTTGTGGTTTGGATTCGAAAGGTGTACTATTTAAGTTACTTAAAGGTTGTGTTTTCGTGTTTGGTGTGAAAATAAAAAATTTATCTTTCTACTTCGAACGCAGTTGATTTGATCAGAAGTATAATTCAAAAGATCAACAATGTTGCTATTTCGCTTATCGGATAAGGTGCGAGGCTGAAACTTCGCTGGATGTTTTACTTTCATGCGTGTTCTTAATTCTGCTTGAGATGAAATTCTCTGCAGTGGTTATGAGAAATACTCAGCTTTACCGCAAGCTCATGAGGGAATGCATTTTGCAGCGAACGACCACCCTCCTCCTCTCCCAACATCCAGTTCGTTTACATATTTGGATTTTTATGCGTTTTTGCTTAAATGCAAATTGCAAAAACACATATTGCGACAACCCTGTCTGTGCTGTTTGTGTATATATTTGTGTGTATATGTGTGTGTGTGCATGCGTGTGTTCGTCTATCCGGGCATTTCAACTAGGCAACCAAGCAAGCTCCGGCGCCAGAATTCTGCTAGTGGGTTCCTCGGCCAAGTGCCATCCCAAGACCGCGGCACCAAACTCATGCATGTCTGAACCCTGCGTACGAAAGGGTGAAAGTTTTGGCGGAAAAATTGCTAACTTGAAAAGCTGGAAAGCTGAAATTTTGAAATCATGTTCGCTGCCCACATAGAACTCAAAGATTTCAAATTCAGTCCCCAGGCATGCGTGCTTCTCACATACTTTCCAGTGAAATTTTTTAGCGGGAAAATGGCCAGCTCGGGAAAAAAGAAAGCTGGGAAACTGAACTTTTTATGGGATGTTTCTAGCACATATACAACTTAAAATTATCAAATTCGGCCACCAAGCATGAATGTTCTCAGGTGTGACCTCGTAAAATTTTTTTGAGAAGAAAACGGTTAACTCAGGAGCCAGGAAACTTGGGAGGCTGAAATTTTAAGGGGATGTTCAAAACGCACGTAGAAGTCAGATTTATCAAATCCAGTCCCCACGCATGCGCGATTGTTACGAACTGCCTCGTGGAACTTTTGGCAGGAAAACGGCTAACTCGGGGACCTGGAGGGCTGAAATTTTAAAGGCATGTTCCCAATCCACGTACAGCTTAATGATCCCACAACCAGCCCCCAAGTATGCTCCCAAATCACGTGCTGCTCTGTGAAAGTTTTGGCGAGAAAAATGCTAACTGGGGAACCAGAAAAGCTAGAAAACTAATATTTTAGGAGAATATTCCCCGTTCAAATACATCTTGAAAGTTTCAAGTTCAGCCTTCACGTACGTGTGTTTCTCATGTACTGGCACTTAAATTTTTGGCGGAAAAACTACTTATTGAACGGCTGGGTCGTTTTCAAAAAACGACCGCTAAACGGAAATTGTTTATTTCCTTTTATCCAAGATTTACGAAAATTTACGGTAGTGAGCGCACAAGGTAGGTGTGATGAAACAATCGTTCATGCATTTAACCTAACTGCTTCAAGTTTGGTGCAAAAACGCACGATCGCACCGGCTGGCCTGACGTGTTTCGACCTGGTTTGACGAACGACCGCTCCAGCAACATTTCCACTTTCTAGTGAAAAACTGAAACTTTTGCATTTTCAGAAATTTGCATTTTTCATTTTTTCAAAAAGACAGCAACCGAAAAACGACTGGACCTCATGCAGAAAACTGATAGCTGTGTACCTAGAGGATCGTGCGGCCCTACAATGTAACACCTTCGTCCTAACCGACGCCCTTCCTCCTGCATTCCGGAAAAAGCCAAAACACGGCCAATATGAGCCCAAGTGTTGGGCTGCAGCGCAGGGATTATCCCTGCTATTAACGGTCTGCGAGTTTGTTGCGAAACACATGATCGTACGGGTAAGCCTGGTGCGTTCCAGTCTGGCTTGCATATACGCAAATACAAAAATTGGCCAACGCAAGGGCT